TGATTCTCCCTCCTGAGGGTCCTTTGAGTCTCTGAACACTAGCTAACATTGACAGAGCTCCTGATAAAACATAAATGTGAACTATTCTTGTTCAAGATGATTTCTCATTTCATAAAAATGTGGGATAAGAAGCTGGTAACCTACGGCGAGATGCTAATGTTAACTAGTTTACTAAACCTTCTTGCCTTTTTTCTAAAACTATCAGAATATTTTATAATCCTTTTTGTTGAACTTTAACTGGAAGCAGCAGCTTGTTTGAACTGTCTCTGTGGCTGGTGGGAAAATAAATGCCGCATCTGTACTTTGCCAAGCGTGGTCTGGTTTGATGTTTACCTCTGTTCTGTCATTTGTGCAATTTCTGCAATGTGCTTTAATGGAAATTATACATTTTTATTGAATAATTTATCTTTAATGCAATAAAAAAGTCAAATTGGGTTCCTGGTGTTAACTCCGGTTTTAACAAAATATCTAGTCATGTTGAATAGAAAACACTTCTCAAGTCATCACATCCGCTTGGATCTGCCTCCTGTCGCCGAGGCCAGCAAACACGGCTCACACCTCATCATTAGAGTGATGAATGCTTGTAGTTCTTTAGAGAGGGCCTAAAAAACCTAAGCCCACCCACGTGTGTGTGTGTGTGTGTGTGTGTGTGTGTGTGTGTGTGTGTGTGTGTGTGTGTGTGTGTGTGTGTGTGTGTGTGTGTGTGTGTGTGTGTGTGTGTGTGTGTGTGTGTGTGCCTGAGCAGATTTGTACTGACAGATAAAGGCACATCTGCATACTCTAAAGCCCACTGGCATTCGTGCTACACCTGCAAACAGTAAAGGTGCGATGAAAAGAAACGTCAGGTCAGGATTATCTAAACACGCGCTATCAGATTAAAAAGAACAAAGGGTGTGTGTGTGTGTGTGTGTGTGTGTGTGTGTGTGTGTGTGTGTGTGTGTGTGTGTGTGTGTGTGTGTGTTTTATCCTTATGAAACAAAGATTCAGAGTCACAGCTGAAGTTTAACAGGAAGATTTTGTGCCGTTTTCTCTCTACTCCTCTCCTCACTCTCTGCTCATGTTTGCCACAGATTTCTGTCCAAATTGTAAACACCATGTCAAGAAGCACCTTTAAGCCTCAAACAAAACACTGTGGCTTCAGTTAATCCAGTGTTCCTCTATTATTTTCTGTCACGCCCCTTCCAGTGAACTTTCTTTTGAGCGCCCACTAATTGAGAGCCACTGAATTAGCCAAGCAGCATAGACTCACTAAATTTCTCATGAATGTAAAGCTGTTCAAGTTTCTGGCTCAATAACCACTGAAACCAGTATAAATGCAATAGCTTACAGTGTCTAAAGTGTTAGAGTTGCTTTTCAATTATGCTAATTCAAGTTTCCAGTCACAGCAACGAGCACTGACAGGCGTTTGAAGGGACACTTCCTGTGTAGCTCTTCCATTTGCTTTACTGGAAGCTCCTAATTACCCAGGCATGTTCTCGGGTGGATTTTAGAGAGCCAGTTTTGAGAAAAGTAGGAAAATCAAGAGTAGTAGGTGCACTTTTACTACAGAACACCTCCAAGGTTGATGACTTGTTCAAGTATCCAAGGTTGGATTTTCCACTTAGAGAAAGTAACAAACATTTATTGGATACAAATTAGACACCACCTCTTTGATGCAGAACCCAGATCTATTAAATCGATATTGCCCATCCCATAATGAAATAAGTTTCTGACCCACATGTTCCAAACCAGGTTTCAGGACAGTAGTTGATGTCTTGGCTCCAAACTTGCATTTTTGAACATCCCAACAGAGAACGAAGCCATAGAAACAGCCTTGTTTTCCAAAACCGTTCTCCATTTTTTGCTGATTTATTCCCATTTTACGTTTTGCTCCAGCCCTCTAATAAAACTCAGATATTTTCTTTTGCCTGCCTGAGGTTGTGCGTTCAGCGTTAGCCCCCTCGCTGCATGCCAGAAGACACGCTGGACTTGGCATTGTGTGAGTTGGATCAAAAAGACAGAGAAGCGGAGTTCGCTTCACTCCATCTCCACACACAAGAGCTTCATAAGCTCCTCACTGACAGACCAACCACCAAGTCTCCAACCCTACCGCCACCACATGCCTGCTGAGAAGGGAAGGGGAAGCATGGAAATTAGCTGAGGGATCTTTTCAAAGCTGCAACTCTGGCATTCCTTACCACTGAGATTTTCTGTAACACAAACTGAGTCTATGATTTCAATCAGCTCTAAAAGGAGCAGGACTGTTTTGTTATTTTTATAGAGCAAGACACAGGTTATTAGATTCAGTTTAAGCATCGCAGATATCTGAAAGGACAAGACAAATAGGTTTTCCTTTCCTCTGGTTTCCCTTCATTTATATATGCTCCACTCTGGCATGTTATATGGAGTCAAACGCAGGCTTTGGGCAGGGACTGGTGAGCTTCCTTAAATACTACGCTAGCTTCTCAGGCTATGAGTCATCTAGAGTGAAGGGATAAAGATCGAGAGGAAAAGGGTGATTCGGTTCTCCAAACTCCATGGGTGCCTAGAATACGGAGCGTATGGATAATTTCCAACTTAATTTAAATACTTTCAAATCTTCCAGAGGAGGATTTTTAATGGAAAAATAAATGGTTCAAATGAATAAAAAAGTAAATAATTAAAGGGACATTTATTACCATTAGAGATGTAGCCTATTTTAGGCTCCATCTCTGAGTTTGTTAGGGTTAGGGTAAACCCCTGTAGAAGGTAAAACTCTTCCACATAGGTTTTGTAGATGTGACTTTGTTTAAACACAAATTCTGATTTGAAATACCCGCGTGCTTTCACCAGAGCTGAAAATTTTTATTACAGCTGATTGCATTAATTTGTCTGTGCAACAAATAATATGTTGCAAGTCAATGTCTGTTTATGTATAGAAAGTCCAAAGCTCGCTGGATCAGTTTTACCAAATCTGCAAAAACAAGCTTTCTTTTAAACACAAACAGTCACAGAACCCCCCACCCACCCACACACACACACTCGCACACCCCACCCCCCTCCCCCCGGCATCTATCATCCCCAAGCCGTGTCTGCCTGATACGTGCATTGCCAGAGTAAACGAGAGCGTACTAAACACCCGTCACAGTTTTCTAGGTGCAAATGTCTAAATGTTGTTTTTCTTTTGTTCTGTTGCCAAATACATACGTGTGTTATGAATGGAGGTCCCAGGGAAGCGCGGAGGTTTGGCGAGACCGACAACCAGATGCCCAATAGCTGCTTTCGGTCCAAGCCATGTTATTTCTGGAGGTTTTAGGACAAATGCAAGAGAACCACTTCATTATTTTTTCTTCTTTTTTTTTAATCACCACAAAATATTTATAGCTACTTCGTTAGAAAATTGTTAAGAGGCATGTGAAAAAAAATGTTTTAAGCTAGCTTATTTTGCAACTTTGCCATTGTAGCTTTAACACTCTTAGTGGAATAAATTAAAATGGATTGATAAAGTAATTGAAATCACTGAAGAATTAAGTAATGAACTGTAATATAACCAATGGTAAAGATTATTTTTTTGCGAGTTATTTGCCTTATAAACAAGGCATAAATCTCACCCCAAAAGCCACCTCCCATAAGTTTACAGTAAAATTTTAGGTGTTCATTAAAGAGCAAGTCATCCCCTACCAGAATCTAACTCCACTCCCATTTCCTGTTTGAAAAATGCACCACAATGAGGCATTGCTTGGCAGACCGAGGGGGCAGAGACGCTAACCAACACACATACAGGCTCATGCGGCATTGTGACATCATAATGTATCAGCTAACGTCATAAGGTACCTCTTAGCTAATAACGATAACAGATTTAATTTCTAATGCAGTGCTGAGTTTTTACCTGAAGAGGGCGCAACACTGACACTTTTAGGCAGAATAGTTAAATTTTAACTAAAATGCACTAAAGTGCAAAATTAACTACACGTGTCTACGATTAGATCCTCATTTACATAGTTTATCAGCAAAAAAACTGATTTGGGGGTGGCTTGCTCTTTAATGACTTCAGATTTTTTATTTTCTAAAGTGTAACACACTTTATTTCCTACATGTCTGACATGCTGTTGAAAACAAATCTGAATCTGCATGAAAGATAAAATGTGAGCATGTTGTTTCTGGGCTTTTGTATGAGTGTTTAAATACCGATATGCTGTTTATTTATGGTGCAGAGTACAGTTGGTGCTTATTTCTGCATCAGGACACTGCATTGATACTTTTTTTTACAGTGGATCCAATTTATCAGTGACACGCAACACCCAGGTGAAGATAAAAGGTGTTCCCCTTCCATAGAATAAACCTGTCCATTATTCTGAAGAACACAACAGCATATCACTTCTGTAAGAAACGAATGCAAGTTTTTGTCATCTCTTCCTCGATGATCATCACCCTTGTTAAATAGACCTGTTCAGTTGCTGGAAAATTAGCAGGAAATGGAAAAAAATAAAACAATTGTAAAGTAGCAGTGAAAATAATGCACCCCTACAGTAAAATTACAGCAATTAGGTTTTTCCAGTCCAGCAGGACACTGGAACCCAGAGAGGAACAAGAGCAGTTATGAGCTTGTTTAGGAGGAAGCAGCAGATGAGAGGAAATGACTTCCCTGACGTTAATATACCCTTGTGGTTTTTCTTACTGTGGCCGTTCACAGGCTCCCTCTCCCAGTCTGCACTGACACAGTCTCTTCATCGGTGCCAGCAGTTAAATTCACGTTTATCTCCCTATAATCACAGATTTAGGCCTCTAATTACTAAATCAAGAAGCCCCAAAGGCAGGAGAATCAACATCAAACAAGTGGGTGAGAGTATTAGGAGACTTTATAAACATGATGATGGGCCTTCAGTGGAGTTTAGCATCACCACCAGGGTGTGAATGAGTGAGTGAGTGAGTGAACGAATAATGGACTCCCAGTAAAGTGCTCTAATCCATTATTATTGTTATAAATCCTCCATAATGAAACTAGAGAATCATTAGTTTCTTTTTTTGGTTTCTTCTCACAGGAACCTGATGCCTCGTACTCTGGAGGGTCAGATCACCATGGAAAAGACTCCAAGTTATTTCGTCACCAAAGAAGCCCCTCGCCGTGTCCTTTCCATGAGCCGTCGTACTAAACTCATTGTGGTGGTGCGAGACCCCGTGACCCGGGCTGTTTCTGACTACACCCAGACCTTGTCCAAATCCCCTGGACTTCCATCTTTCCAGAGCCTGACTTTCCACAATGCCACCACAGGGCTCATTGACACATCTTGGAGCGCCGTTCGCATCGGCATCTACGCCAAGCACCTGGAGAACTGGCTGCGCTACTTTCCACTCTCGCGTTTCCTCTTTGTGAGTGGGGAACAACTCGTGACGGACCCAGCAGGGGAAATGGGCCGGGTCCAAGACTTCTTAGGGCTCAAACGCGTGGTGACAGACAAACACTTCTACTTCAACCAGACCAAAGGTTTCCCATGCCTAAAGAAGCCCGAAGGGAGCAGCCGGCCCCGCTGCCTGGGGAAGTCAAAGGGCAGGCCACATCCTCAGATACCGGGTGAGGTCCTGCTCAAGCTTAGAGACTTCTACAGACCCTTCAATCTGAAGTTCTACCAAATGACAGGCCACAATTTTGGCTGGAACTGAAGGACATCTCACCAAAGCTGTTAAAATCCCACAATACCAGCTTTATGTGGCACCACGTGGCACCACATTATATCTTTGTGGGTTTACAAAAGGCATCTTTAGAAGGTTTGATGAAGCTTTGGTCTTTAAAGCCACTTTAGCAAAGGAAAATGGTCCTAAACACAAGCACAGAACAACATGTTTTCCAGGGATTTTTTTTGTTTGTTTTCCCTTAGTTTCTGTCCAAAACACACCACAGGAATAAAAGAAGAAAAGAAAAGTAGAACAGTCGTGTGAAACAAGGTACCTTCATGTCAAAAGGCTATCAGAGCCTAGCGAACCAACCAAGAATAATGAATAATGGACAATGCTACTTTCATAACTAAGATGGTTGAGACGGGTGATTAAGTCAACATCCTTTTTCTTTTCAGGTTTGAGTAAATTAAATGATTTTGTAGTTAACTTTTAAACACAGATGCAATAGCTGGTACAAAGGCACCAAACACACACAAAGCTGTTCTTGAGATGTACGGTTGCTCTTATTTATGTCTTCAAAGTAGTGTTCTACATCTTTACAGATCTGGAAAGATTATTTACAAAAAAAAATTTCCTGTATCATTTAAATGTACTAAAATGCAAGTCTGTATTTTTTTTTATCTTAATTTATTAGACAACAAACTGTTGTAGTGTTTATTTTTTTCTGAGAATTTTGTATTGGAATTTCTGTTGAATTCTGACTAAACCTTTATTTGAAAGCATGTATCAGGGTCTTTTATCCACTTTTCTCTGTTCTCTTTGTTCTGACTCTACACAAGGCCATGCTGAGAGAGCACAGCCTACATCTGCTGGGCAGACGGGTTCTGCCTGGTAGAAAGCTGCCAGACGCTGGATGATGAAGAGAGAAAACGTAATTAATCACGTTTGTATAATTTCACGTCTGAATGGTAAAGCCAAGAGTTATTTACTGAAAGAGGGTTGTTAGACTCTTAGTTCCATTAGAGGGATGTCTTAATGGATAACCCATGTATAGATCTTACTTCCATGAAAGTTTCCACTGAAACTAGGAGTTTGAAAATGATGATAATTCAGTTTCAGGGGCTTCATTTATAAAATGTTGTGTAGAATCCTTACTAAAACCCAGCTTAAGCTAAGCTAAATAAAACATTTTTGCAAACTAATTTTCCCACCTATAAAACCCTGCTTATGCACGGATGTAGCCGTTTCTGTTTTATAAATCACACCTGTCCTAGCAACGTGCTCAGGTGTTTGTGGATCACAATCCGCCTCTTACACACCCACTTTCTGCCCTCAGTTTGAAGAAGTCCTCTTTGACTGGACTCATGTGGTAACCGCTTATCCAAGTGGGGTCCATTCCCAAGTAAATTTCTTTTACTTTAGAAATACGGTGGCTGGGAAGGTTCAGTAAAATATAAAAGCCTCACAAACAAAGGGAGCATGCACATGCGGGAGGAGCATGCGCTGGCGGCCCGATCACCGGACACACGGCGGCGTTTTGAAGCAGATGGCAGCTTGTTAATCAATTTCCACAAACAATTAAGACAGACTTTTGCCTAATTCACTCACTGACGACACAAAAAAACTAATAAATCTGGTAAGTATAACACACTCAACCTGGAGGTAAGTGGAGAAAATTTAGAAAATTTGCAAATATATATTGACGAGGTTTTTGAGATTTTTGTCATGGGACCGAAGAAAGCAGCAGCAGCTGAGACGGAAACACCTGGGACCAAGAGGAGCCGTCCCCAGGACTCGCCCGAGGCCTCATTTCCCCATAAGGATGTCTTAGATTTATTACAGTCCATAGATAAACGGCTTCTGGGGTTTGAGGGACGACTCTACCTGATAGAGGTGCTTCACAAGGAGTTCCAGGACCTCCGAACATCTCTGGAGTTTAGCCAGGAGCAGGTGGAGCGGCTTGCGGCTGAGAACGCGTCTCTGCGGGAATCGGTTTCCTCCTTGACTGCAGGATTAGATCGGCTCTCCCAGGACAACAAAGTTCTAAAGGAGACGGTCCTGGATCTCCAATCACGCAGCATGAGATAACCTGGTGTTCGCAGGCCTTCCAGAGCAGACCGGAGGAGAAGCGGAGGATTGCGAACAAACCATCAAGAACTTTCTCCACACCCAAATGAAGATACCTGAGGAAATGGTTAAAAACATCACCTTTCATTGGGTACATCGCCTTGGAGCCAGAAGAACAGACAGCAGAAGACCTCGTCCCATCGTGGCTAAATTTGAGCACTTAAAGCAGAAAGATCTTGTTAAAAGCCGCGGGAGGGAGCTTAAAGGTAAAGACTACAGCGTAAACGATCAGTTTCCTAAAGAAATTCTGGATCGCCGCCAAGTTCTCTTCCTGCTGCGCAAGAAGTTTATCCAGGATGGGAAGCGGGCTGTGATCTCTGTGGATAAACTGTTGATGGTAAGATCTACAAAGAACTAGGAGTAACAGACTGGCTTTATTGGACAAACTTCAGGTACAACTTTATTATTATTAAAAGCACTCACTGGGTTTGAACATGTCAGGATTTATAGCTGCTAGATCCGTTTAGAAATGTTCACCTGTTCCCTCACCACCTCACAACCACAACACTTTTTCTTTTCTTTCTTCTTTTTTCCTTCTTTTAACCTTTATAATTCCTTTCTTTCCCTTTTTTTATCTGCTTATGGGTCTTTACATCTGCATGGCACAATTTTTTTCCCTTTCCACACTGCAGCGCGCACACACACACACACACACACACACACACACACACACACACACACACACACACACACACACACACACACACACACACACACACACACACATATAGACTCCATACGCAGTCACACGGATAAGTAGCCTAAGGCGTTTCATTGCACAATCAAAACACTGTTGGGCTTGTCTTGTTATTATTATTATTTTTTTTATTGTTTTTGTTTTTTATTATTATTTATTTATACTTTATCATTATCAGCATTAATATTTTGATATTAATGTTGTAGGAAAAAAATTAAAACAAAATTATTATTATTGTATTTTTTTGCTACTATTATTGTTATTATATTTAATGTTGCAAATGGTAATATTGATTATAATCATATCCTTATTATTCTCTATTATTTACTATAAGATTAATGTATGCGTTTAATTACTTATTTTATCTCATACACATGAAGGTGTCATATTATAGCTACTCACACACACATCTATGGGTGCACTAAGGTTTGTCTCACGGAACCTACATGGAGCTGGCTCTAGAGAGAAGAGATTAAAATTTTTTTGATCAGTTAAAGAGAGTGCAAGCAGACGTAATATTATTACAAGCGACTCATAGATCTGCCACATCTGCAGATGAACTTAAAACACCTGAGTTTCCCAGCATGTTCTCTGCCTGCTATAACTCTAGGCAAAGGGGTGTAGCTATTTTAATACACAAAAACATCAATTTCGCAGTATTGGACACAATTTCAGATCCAGAGGGTAGATTTATGATGTTAAAAATATCTATACAAAACCAAAGCTTATTTATCGCCAGCATACTCTGTCCAAATAATGATGACCCTCCATTCTTTCATAATTTTTTCTCTATACTCTCCGAACACTTGGACTGTCCACTTATACTTGGAGGTGATTTTAATTTTTGGATGGACACTTTAACAGACAGGCTCAGTACAGCTGGGACTCAGTGCAATTGGCAATCCACTAATATAGTTAAACAGTACATGAGTGATTATGGGCTTTGTGATGCATGGCGATCTCTTCATCCTAACCGTAGAGAGTATACTTTTTCTCACACATCCATCACTCTCATTCACGTTTGGATTATTTTCTAGTCAGCAGCTCATTGTTGGCTGACATTTCAGACACCACGATACACCCCATAGTTGTCAGCGACCATGCTCCGGTTTCATTAACTCTGGTAAATAGAAAGACAATCCCACCAAGCAAAAACTGGAGGTTTAATACATCACTGCTTAAAGACGAAGGTTTTATTGATTTTTTTAAAAAGGAGTGGGCTTTATATTTAGAGCATAATGACCTGCCTGGAACATCAGCATCTATTCTCTGTGAAGCAGGAAAGGCAGTGATGAGAGATAAAATAATCTCTTTCTCATCACATAAGACAATAACAGAAAACAAACGTATTCAGGAGTTAGAAGAAATCATTAAGTCTTTAGAGGCATCCACAGAAGAAGAGTTACTGAGCAAATTATGTAAAGCTAAATTAGAACTTCTTGGAACTATTGACAAAAAGACACAAATTTTAGCACAAAGACTATACGAATAGAAAACTTTGAACATAGTAATAAATCAGGTAATTTCTTAGCTAGCCAATTAAAAATAAATAAAGAGAAAACTACCATATCTGCTGTTAAAGACTCAACCGGGAATATAGTTAATGACCCTGAAAGAATAAACAACACATTCAGAGACTTTTACCAAACTTTGTACTCACCACAGATAAACCCATCAGATAACAAGATCAATTAGTTCCTTGACAGGATAACACTTCCTAAATTATCAAACAGCCAAGTTACAGTCCTGGACTCACCACTAACATCAGCTGAGCTCCAGGAAGCCCTCAAATCCATGACTAATAGGAAAGCTCCAGGTCCAGACGGGTTTCCAGCAGAGTTCTACAAAGAATTCTGGATCATTCTGGCTCCAACATTTTTCAGAATGGTGAGGGAAATCGAAGAGAGCAGCAGCCAAACACGAATTCAGCCAATTTTTGTCTCTTGTTAAAACCAGGCAAAGACCCTGCATTTCCTACCAGCTATCGCCCAATGTCTCCTATTAATGTTGATCTTAAAATAATTTGTAAATCCCTGGCAAAAAGAATAGAGAAGGTAACCCCCTTCATAATACACCCTGACCAAACTGGTTTCATTAAGCGTAGACAGTCATCCACAAACTCGCGTAGATTACTTAATTTGATAGATTCCTCTTACAGTAGAAACATAGAAACTAGTACATTATCTCTAGATGCAGAAAAGGCTTTTGATAGAGTTAACTGGAAGTTCTTATTTGCAACTTTACAAAAATTTGGTTTTGGGAACTTATTCATAAACTGGCTACAAACATTATACAGGTCACTAACAGCACGTGTCAGGACAAAAGACCAAATATCAGCTAGCTTCTGTCTTCAGAGGGGGACCAGGCAGGGATGCCCACTCTCGCCCTCACTGTTTGCTATTTTTATCGAACCACTAGCGGCAGCAATTAGGCAAACAACAGATATTAAAGGGATAGAGTGTAAGAAAATAGAACATAAGATCAGTCTTTATGCAGATGATGTTTTACTCTTTCTCCAGAATTCTCAATCCTCTCTCTCCCATTCAATAGAACTGATAAACTCTTTTTCAAGAGTTTCAGATTACTCTATAAACTGGTTCAAATCCACAGTTCTACCAATTAATTTCTCATTTGTCAATTTGCTTAATACACAATTTGAGTCAGGGAATATCACATACCTGGGAATTAATGTCTCTCCCAAGCTGGCAGATCTAACCAAACTAAACTACATCCCACTTTTAAAGAAAGTGGAAGATGATCTTGCAAGATGGATATCCTTACCGATATCACTCATGGGGAGGGTTGCTACAATTAAAATGATGGTCTTACCCAGAATAAAATACTTATTCTCGATGATCCCAAACAAACCACCAGCTGACTGGTTTAAATCTCTGGACTCCTCAATTACTAAATTCCTTTTGTAGGATAAACCTCCACGAATTA